CTACATATGTTATGCATTTATCCGATAAATAATGTTAGTTTTCTTAAGGTATCGTAAAGATTACAAGATGATGGTAAAAATTAATTAATTGATTTACCGATTAATTTTCTATTCTGTCGTAACTAATCAATTAATTAATTAATTTTTCCTTCCATTAGTAAACTAAAATAATTTTGCGAAAGAGGAAAGATGTTATCAGAATGGAACATCTACTATTGAAAGCCAAAATGTACTCTTAGGACTAAAAAAAGAACGAAATGATTTTAAAGGTGACACTTAAAGACGACATATATTAGTGATGATCCATTTATATGTTATCTCATTGAAATAGAAGCGGAAAAATCAAATAAAAGAACTTTTCGCTTCAAAATGCGATACTTACCTGTAATTTTGAAATATCCAGAAAAACAGCCTTCGTTAACTTTTTTACGCTAAAAATAATTTTTAAATTAGAGGTCACGGATTGTCTAACCTCAAAAATATCATTCCTCTCCTAAAAATATATACTATTACAAAATACTTCATCTATTTTCAATTCTCAATTCTCTCAATATTTATTTTGCTTGTAGACAATTTATATCTTTTTATCCATTCAACTGTCATTTACTCTTTTGCCTATTTATCATTATTTTAGTAATTTAATATTCACGTAAGTTCAAGTTTCAAAATCTTCAAATATATACAGTCATATATATATATACATCATAATACTGCAATGTTGTGAACTATAGAAATATCTTATAGAATAATCTGAATTTCATAATGCGAAGATTTCAATTCTAATATAGTATATCTGATTTGCATCTGCTATCATTTACTTCATTATTAAATAGCTGACAAGAAGTTTATAGGAATCGATAAGCTGAAGCAGATTAAATGATAAAGAAGTGTTAGATTAACAAATGCAACAGATAAACAATTATAAGCTTTTTTTACGAGTGAAAAAAGATCTCATATAGTTTAAATTCAAAGAATAGGAAGCTATCACATTTTTAGCTTTAAACAGAACTTGAAATAATTTCTAATTTAATTAATTAAAATATAAAATGGTAATTCAAATAATTATTTCAATTAATTACACTGTTTATTTAACAAATTTATCGATTCCTTTTTTTTCAACTATACTTAAAGAATTAATCATTTAAACTATAAAATAAAAAAAAATGACCAAAGCTAGCAAAACTCCTATACTTCTTGACAGAATCAGAAATTATTAAATTTCTTGTATTTTCTTCCTCTCACAAAAATACTCACAAACAATTTGCCCTACAAAACACTATCAAAAAATAACCTTGGCCTATTAATGAGGCAAAGAATATATTATTGAATTGTACATGCATGACTGTAAGTGAAATAAAAAGTTAAGGAAATGACAGTTGTTGAATTTTTTTCATTCCACAACTCGCTCGCTATTACTTGTAATCTCTTCTTTCCAACCTACCTATCTAAATTTGTTAACAAAAATTTTCTTCCCACAAAATTCCCAAATTTTAATTAATTATATCGTAGAAAAATTTAATTAATTCAATTATCTTTACCTTTTAGTTGAATTAATTTTAATTAATTATATCGTAGAAGAATTCAATCAATTTTACCTTTTAGTTAGATTAAATTCAAATTTAAATTTAAATTTCGAATTAATTTTACTATTTTACAGTAACAAATCATATATAAATAATTATACATCTATGAATAATTATATTATATTATCATCTATAAATAATAAATAATTATATACTATTTGTTTTACTTTGCAAAAATCAATATTTCATATTTCATCAATTTAAATTTTAAATATAACAAGCAAAAAAAGAATTGAAATAATAAAGATAAACATATGAGAAATATTTTCATAGCTTTCTTACACATTCTGCAAAACATTTAAATTTTTTTGCATAATTTATCAATCGCTCGTTGAATTATAATAAAACATATGTTCTCATATAATTTGAAAAGTAAAAGCAAAAGAAGCAAAGAAATTTTTCAAATTCAATTTCTTCGTAAATTCTTTATTTGAAAGTTTTGAAAGAGAAAATCGATTTACTTTTAAAAAAACAAAAACAAAAACAAATGCAATCACACAATTACACTTACCTTTACCAAATAGCAAATTAGATAATAATTTATTGAATCAAAAAGTGTTTTAAAATATTTTCACATCGCACGCATCATTAACTTTAATTTAACTATGCCAATTGCACCTTTCCAATTGCGCCTTTTCATCTGATTTACTAATACTAAAGAAAAATTGATAGACGAAAGTTTGTCCGTTCATTCAAAATGCTCATCGTAAAAAGATGCTGCTGCATATGAAATGAAGAATTATTTGATCATCTTATTACTTCCCTTTACCCCTCTCCCTCTCTCTCTCTCTCTCTCTTGTCTTTTGTTTCATTAACTTTAATTTAACTATGCCAATTGCACCTTTCCAATTGCGCCCTTTCATCTGATTTACTAATACTAAAGAAAAATTGATAGACGAAAGTTTGTCCGTTCATTCAAAATGCTCATCGTAAAAAGATGCTGCTGCATATGAAATGAAGAATTATTTGATCATCTTATTACTTCCCTTTACCCCTCTCCCTCTCTCTCTCTCTCTCTTGTCTTTTGTTCTTTCGTCATATTACGGAATATATTTCGGAATTCCGTAATATTTCAATCCTTTCTCCTCTTCCGCTTCCCTAATTGCAAAATAATGAAATTTACATTATCTCTTCTTTTCATTGTTGATAATCTTAATTGGCTATTTGGAAAGACTCATTTATAATGTTTATTTACAGCAATTTATGTTTATTTATATTGGATTAGTTAGTTAGAACAATAGTGCCTTTGGTCAATGGTCTATGCATTCATTATATTGACCAAAATAAATGTTATAGCAAATGTAATGTGTTATTGCTTTGTAATTTTCGTTCAAATTTTATGGCTACTAATATGAATAAAAAGTCAAACGATAAAAAAGAACGTTTCGTGGAAGGGAATGGAAGGGAAGGGTCAATTTCTCAAACTTTAAATGACAGACTTATAACATATACATTTATACAAGAAGAATTATCGGACTTATGTTTTCATTTGTTTTTCCTCAACGCAGAAATTATTTCTTTTTTATTTGTCATGCATAGGTAGATAATACATGAGGTGTCATAATACGTTTCATTTGTATTTGTCATGCATAGGTAGGTAATACGTGAGATGTTATATTACGTTTCATTTGTATTTGTCATGCATAGGTAGATAATACGTGAGATGTCATAATGCGTTTCATTTGTATTTGTCATGCACAGGTAGGCAATACCTGAAATGTCATAATGTGAGTACGATAATTTAGTAGCTTAATTCAACAAATACTTTTGAAAGTATTTGTTTAGCAAATAAAATAACACAAAAAAGAAAGAATAAAGCTGTCAAAATAAAAACAATTAAACAAAGAAGGCACTTTTTTCATCATGAAAAAGTAATATTTGATGTTGTAAGAATGATTAATTTAAGATTACAAGAGAAATGTGGTCGGAAGTATTAACGCAATTTAGAATGTTATCCGTTTTACGCAGTTTTGACTTATTTTCTTCACCTATGCACCTTCATATTAAAAAAATGTAAACAGTAAAAGTATGAACATTTAAAATTTTCTTCCTCTTTCTAGTCTTATATCTTTTTGTTTGATAAAATTTAGCTAAGGCTTATCAGTGTTGTATTAGTTTCGTAATCCAAAAACAATCGATAGATAATAATAATAGAGATTGATACAGATCACAAAGTAAGACATTTTCTCGATGAAATGATCCCTAATTGTTAAGATATATGGAAGGCTTGCAAAAAATTCATAATTTTAGCAAAAATCACATAAATCAAATTTGTGAATAAATGTTTAGAAAAGATTTTTTCAGTGAACTGCAACATCGTGGAAAATCATTGATTGGAAAATAAAGCACCCAACTTGTAATTTAGATCTTATGAGATAATATCAAAAATTATTCCATCACTCTTTCCACACTATTTTGATGCTAAACTTCTTTTTTTGGTGAAAGATACGATAAAAGAATTACCTAAACATTTGAAACACTAAAGCGGTAAAAATTTTCTAATTGACAAAACTTAATATATATCATAAATTCAGTTTCATATTAGAAGATTGATAGGGTAAATAAAAGGAGTAATTTGGAAGTAATAAATTGATGGCAAAAAATTTTTTACTTCCATAAGCTTATCAAATATCTTTATGAACAATTCAAAAGAAAAGTAACTTCCAATTCACTCTTCAACATAAATTACTATAATTTCAATCGATCAAACAATTCTCATCTCAATTCTTTCCTAATTACATTTAGATTTGGGACAGTCTCGAGTAGTGCGATTAATAGAACTATGATAACAAATAGCAATAAACAAAAGGAATAAAATTATTGAAAAAATTGTTCATCATTAATCAAAATAGACTCTATCTATTTCTCTCATCCTACCTATGAGAGAAATCCATGAAAATGTGTGCAACATATGGCTAAAAAAGCGTGATCAAACAAATCTGAAAAAAAAGTTGTAACAAATTTATAGACCATTTAAAATTTCACTGAAAAAGTAGAAGTAGAATATTGTAAAAAAATTCAACTATAAAATGACTTTAAAAAAGCTCTAATTTATAAGTACTGAATTTAGTCATGTGATACATATATAGACAGCTTCAACAAGTAATGTTATTTGATGACAGCGATTAAAATAAATCTATTCTTGCAATATGAAATTTATGAAATTTGCAAAAAAATGTTATAGATGGTTACTAAATGAATAATACAATTTAATGAATATATCATAATGAAATATTGCTGTTGTCAAAGAAGTCCAACACTATTAATCCTATCTTATGCATCTTTAACAAATAAATCAATAGAGCAAAATTGTTATATCGTAGTAAAAGAGAGATGAATGTTTGAGAAATCAAAATATAAATGGTGTTGATATAATGATAATGTAATCAGTAGCCTAAGCTTCTCCAGCTGTTTAGATCATCTTTTCACAGCTCCAAAATTCGTATCCAACTCACCATCAAGCTCCGCACATTGCTCTACCGTAAGTGGAGTGCGTTGCCTGAATGCATATAAAAATTGCGATAATTTCATCAGAAATTTTATTTTCTATTAATAATGCTAATATTTCTCTATATCGGTTAAAATGAAGCAAAAATGATGTAAAAAGAATGAAAACCTGGCAACACAAGATCGATGATCAATTCTATCAACGTTATGATTTGATATCGCTGATTGAGATGGTTTTGATATCCTGGTTACTGTATCCTTGGGTGACATTTCTGTCATTGTTAACGAGGGAATCAATAGTTTCTATAAAACTTCATTTCTTTTCTATTTTGTTTTGAGAAAAATTTTCTGCGCCATAAAATGGATATCAGCAATTTTTTAGAATTATAAAAATACATTTAGTCTATGACACATTCATCAATCACAACCATTGAATTGCTTAAATTTGAACTTTAATCTTTAGAATCTATTTTCGCTAAGTCTATATCAGAAGTTATAAATTTCAAACCTTATCAGTGTTATTTTCACTATCCTTATGGTCCTGTGTTTGTCTATGTCGTAATCTCCATACCTGTTCTGCTACTTGTGATGAGCGCCGCCGATGATGGACGTTATGGTAGGAGCCTGATCCACGAAATCTTAAATATTAATTTTAATTTTGAAAAGAGAGCTAAAAGAAAGGACAGATCTTAATTATAGCTTTTAAAGAAAAACGAGCTAATCAAATGTAGCAATTAAATTTAGTGGCGTCACAAAAACTACGGGACATCGAAAAATTATGGTCAGCATTTAGAAGATAGTATCAAAATTTACTTTTCACTAATATGTGGTGATTCAATCCATGAAACAACACTTGTCGGTTCATCACAATCTTCTGATTCTGGTATAGGATTGTAAGAAGCATTGCATTCCGTTGCTACAACAAATTTGAATCATCCAAGAAAGCATTATAACAGAATCGATTACATTGCAATTTTCTTCAACATTTCTTGAACTTAATGGAAGAAACAAACTCTGCTACTTATGCTTTCTCTCCATTTTTCTGCACATATAATTTTGGAGAAAGTGATAAAAGCATTAGAAAGAGTTATCTCCGAAGTAATGACCAATAATAGTGTTAAATGGCCAAATTTCTCTGCAGTAGAAAGGAAACTTTTGACATCAGCGTATCAGTGAGATTTTGCACACCGCATAGCATTGGTATTTTTCCGTGTTGAGTTAAATTAAGTTACAGCAGGCTCAACTTCTAAACTACAACTTTGCGGCCATACTTTCTTCGTAACCGAAAAATTATTCCGCGAAGCTGCTCAACGTATTTAAAGTGTATTTATAGCCGTCGTAAAGCTGCCGGCTGGTGTTGTTCATAATTGAAGCTAAAACGGTATCTGACTGCTTCCAAGAACGAAAATCAGGGTGTTCTCGATATTCTTTGCAAATGTTTTTGCAGTCAGACGTTCCGCTGCGGTTCAAAAATTTCACTTTTCAGGCGATAACACGAATGCTCTCGTCCATTCTCTCTCAACCATTAAAAGCAGAAATCAAAGAAACGATTGGCTAACCTGAAGTTCTGTTCATCAAATTTCTCGATAAATCAGTAGCAAACGGCAGACTATTTTTTTTAAAATTATTAACCATTTCATACTTCCCACCGAAGAGGGTTTCTTCATCAGATTTACTCAGTGAATGAGAACGTATCTTCAATTCTTCCGGTATGTCATCTTTATCTAAATTTTTTAAATTTCAGTATATTATATGTAAGATTCCTGTCAAATGATTCTTCATAAATTTTGTAAGCATATCGAAAGGATACCAAATAACTATACAGTTCTGATATTTTTATAACCAATTCTTCTTGTGATGGATCAAAATCGAAAATACTATAAAGATTCATAGATTATCCATCTGTTTAATTTAATAAAAATGAATAAAGATGAATTTTTTTCTTTCTCTTTAGAACTTTCAGAAAATAAAAATTCATGCAAATGATTCCAATTCAAATAGCCACTCATTTGCCAAAAACAAGATCAAAATGCATTGATTTCAGATTCTGGAAGCATTATCCTTTCAAAACATCAACTTTTTATTCATAAATGACAGCTTGTTGACGATAGCACAAGTTATTGCGATATTTTGCAAATGACCGTTCTATGTATAACCAAAACGCGTTGACGTTAGATGTCACTGCTAGCTCAAAGTGGATCATTGAATCATTACACTGCTGTCACTCAGCTGTGGGCAATGTGTATTAACTGCATATGCAGTGTTTTCCGTATGCAGCATATTGGAGTGATGTTCAAGGGTGCACAGTATTATAGCTCATCAGACAACGTTCGAGATTCCCAAAAAAACCCATAGATCTTTAGCGTTTGCATAAGAAAGCTGACCTTTACTTTCATTAGCAGGGACATCAACTCTGCTGGTTACTTCGTTTTGTGACCCAATATTCCTCCTATCAACATCTTGCCTGTTGCCTTCACCAGTATTATTAAAATTTTCCACATTCTTCATTAACAATTGCAATTCCTGAAAAACAGACTTCTTCATATTATTTTCAAATTCAATTAATTAAGAATCTTGATTGTCTGATCTGTTTCGAACTTTGACTTTATGCTCCTCTATTTTTTTCGACTATACTCATTAAACTTCAATTCAGGAAAAGCTAGTAGTCACATCAATCAGGATTTGGAAAAAGATTACTCTATCTTCACCATATCATTTGTAATATGTGAGAATTTTCAAAAGACTAACTCCATATAAAATATCCATCGTATCATCGAAATGTTTCTGCGCACAACAACTTGAACTCGGATGAGGACAAATGGAGTGAGATGCTTGATAAATTGATGTAATAGGATTTGTCATCAAGCATTGACACCTGGAATAGCTTTCCATCTAATTTTTCATTGAAAGTAAATTTTAAAATATAAACATTTCGAACAAATTTTAAGAACAAAGACTGAAAAGAGAAATTAATATAATTGTAATTGTTAGTAAAGATAATTATAATTTAGATGTAAATAGGGCTAAAAAATATTCAAATTTACTCGTCTAATTAAAGAAAAATGAAAAAGATTAATTGAAGGGATTATTGTTTCCATACCGTGAATTTTGTTTATCAACAGTATTTGGTACACTGTCCGAAGATGTTTTTGTTCGATTATCCTGAAATTTCAAACTGATATGTATTTCCATATAATATCCTTACAATTTTTTGCATCTTTTTCATCGATGAAAATATAAAATTTTGATACTTAAATAAAAATTTATTTGAAAAATTTCAAGTTCTCAGATTTTCGATTTTTTCAGATTTCAAGTTCTTAAATATTCTGAGTAGAAAGACAACTAAAGTAATATCGATAAAAAAAATAGATGAACACCTTTAAAATAGATGGCGGTAAATGAGAGGCAAAACTATTTTTGCGCTCACAGTTTGATTTTTTCCGGCTTGTTTCACTATTTTTCTTTTTTGAAAATAAATTCTGAAAAGCTATCGAACGTTTCGATAATTCAACGCATTCAGATTCATGGGTATTCTCCGTGGATGTGGATGTAGTTGGCTGGAAAAGTAGTCACTTTGAATGATCGAAATGATCTCATTATTTTATTGAATTTTCATTTATTCAAAATGAAATTTAGAAAATAATGTAGAAAAAAGTGCTGCATGATTGATCAATTGAGGATCGATATATTTCGGTGTCTTAGAAGTCAAATGCTAGAGTATAAAACTGCGCTCTTCACGGTGAACTTACATATTGCTACTACATTCTACTAAAATCAAAAATCACTTTTGCTTGTAAAAGAATCTAATAATATTTAAATCAATTTACGTGTACGAACGTACCTTGCTGATGTTACTGAAACTGCAAAAATGATCGGTAGTTTTCGGAGGAACATCAGCGTCCTGATACATCTCCACTTCTTTAGTAAGATTTCCTGTCGATGACTAAAAAGATTTCCGGTCGGTGACTATATTTTCACTTATGATATTGTTTATAAGAAAAAGGTGACAGCTTCGCTAATGCTGTCATTAAAATAGAATTTTGGGTATAAAATTATCGAAATTTGCATCAGACCATTGATCCTAAGGTTTTCACTTCAACTAATATCGAATTCTGTAATCATACAAAAATAATTAATTTGTGTTGTGCTCTTCAAGACAAATTTAATCTATCCTACTCAATTTTACTACAGCTTGTGCAAAGATTAAACTATCACAACATCACCTCTAATATTATCATCTATACCTATCATCTCTGATGTTATCAGTTGAATCACTTAGAAAAGATGTGGATAATTTACAGAAATTTATAAATAACAGGATCTTACTGCTTTCAAAATATTCCTACTATCAGGACAACTTCGTTTTCGAACATTTGATCGACGGAATGTTTGATTAGCATCAATACTTTTTCGTCGCTTTTCAAGATACTTTGGTACTTTCTTATTACCTTTCACATTTAACGCAAAACCTGAAATTAATGTTAATATCAAATTGCTAACATTAGAGTTGTGGATATGAAAATGGCTGATTTTTCTTATTAACAAATTAGAAACTTCTGAATCAGCAAATTTGCACATTTGATTTATATCAGCCTTACTTTGTTGGCTTGAATAGCCAATTGATTTTGAACAGTCATCGCTTAAACTAAGCATCAACATTTTAGTTTTCTCCGGTATTTGAATTGCGTAATGATCTAACATCATTCGTTTTAATTCCTTCATCCAATGCCGCTTCTGATCCATACTGGAAGCCTAAATTTCAGTGCTATTACACTGGAATATTTTTAATTTATGCAAAAATATCCGAGAAAATTCTTTAGCATTCCCCAACAATATCTCTCTGATCAATTTCATTCAAATATTTTTCAAACTTAACAAAAGATACTTACGAGGAATGTATATTGAATCTTTGGATTATCATAGGAGAGAACTTGAAATGCCAATGGATCAGTAGATATCGATTCGTTTAGCATTAAGCTTGAACACTAAAATTTAAACTTAAATATATAGTAATATTTAATAAAGGTAATTTTAGCATCTGTAGTGATTATCTCGCTATTATTTTTCAGTAAACTATTTCTATATCTTACAACTATTTTACAACAATATCTTACAACTATTTCTATTATATTGAAATTCTGTAAGTCTGTATCGATTAAAAAAAGCTTAAAAAGTGTTAAAAAATTCTGAAGTACGTTATTACCAACGTGTAAAGTAATTCCTCACCATAATATAATCCTTACAAATCAAAGCACCATTTCGCTCTTTCACAATCAACAACATTTCCTCGAATAAAAATAATTGTCGATTAGTTTTAGCACCAGCTAGCTTAAAGGTAGCTTCCAAAAGCAAATCGCCATATTTCGACAGATCTTCTTTCTCATCGATACACCACTTATGGAGAGCATTCTGAAGCTCACGTACACGTTCCAGATGCTCAACACGTTTCTTCTCTTCGTTTATTTTCTCCGCTTGTGAAGTCATGCAATGAAGGGCTTGCAAAATTACAGCTCGATCACCATCTGATAGAGCTTTGGAATCCACTGAAGCTTTTAGGATATTCTGTAAATTGAAATTCCATTTTAAATTTCGAGCAGATCGAGGCATTCTGTTTTAAAAGACAGATTTAAAAAGCAAATGAGCTAAAAGACTTTTGAAAGAATAATGTCGCGTGAAAATGTAATTATTATCACTTCTAATAGGATAGATGGATATTCTACGATATTCCGGGTGAAACTGTCCACACTTCCGATAAGCCATAATTATCTGATTATAAGTGAAAGAGTACAATAGTAGGAGAAATGAATGATAGTTAAAAAGTTACTTCAAGAAAAAGGTGATATTTGAGTACTCGTTGTACTGGCTTCAATAGATATGCACTGAGTGGAAGAGAATGTCCAAGGATAGCTTGACGAACTCTTAAAGTTTCTGCTACTCTTTTATTTTTCAATAACACTGACAGTGTTTCAATCATTCTAAAATTGAAACATTTGAGACAGATAATTTTCATACATGTATTATCGAATTTGTCAAATTATATTTATAATTAATTAAACAAAAATAAAAAGAAACAATTTCATCGAATTATAACAAAAATTTTTGATTTTGCGAAAATAAAGAAATTTCAAAATTTTTTTTTGGATAATTTAATTTAATCTAAAATAATAATTAATATTGCGCAAAAAAACTTTTCCTAGAAATATTTGAATGAAAAAAGAAAACTAACATTTGATATTTGGTGCAATACATAACATAATCATTGAAACCATCCATGTTATCTGATAAGCATTTTGCCATCTGTAACATTTCTTTACGCATTTTCATTCATTTCAAAAATGAACTTCACTAACAAAATTTACGACTACTTATATAATATTGCACTTTTAGTGAAGTAAAACTGCCACCCTTAAAACGGTCAATTCTTATAATTTCATTCTTCACAGGACGCCTTTAGGTGGTTAATGTGTGCAAGAGGTATATCTTTCTCCATTAATTTGATGGGAGAGATTCACCTGCAACAGTTCCAGGAACGTACGGTATATTGCAGGCGAAGGTAATCATAGGCCTAAGGTTGTCAAATAGTGATAACCTGTGCTTCAGTTGCATACAACTGTACACAACTAGCGTCTCATCATAACTTATTAAGACCGCCCTAGTCGCATTGTCATCATGAGCACAAGTAGCCTATAGTCAACTCATGCTGCTGCCACTGCACGAAGTCGAACCAAACAGCTTCGGCACAGCAGCGACATTCACCACCAATTAACCAAATATTATATTTGCATAATTGGATCACAATCAAGAATAAATGAAAACTTTGAATTGAAAATATCAGATTTGCAGTGAAATATTAATTGACCGCTTTAAAAGAAGGAGTAAGTGGACAATGACCATGTGTATGTCCATTTATGGAAATAAGTAGGAAGCTTACTGAAACGACGCTTAATTGAGCAGCATCCAAATCGTGATACAATTTTTTATTGAACAAAAAGATACGTTCAATGCAACCGAATGTATTGGAAATATCGTCTACGGTCATTTCGAATTCTTCCCGATGATCCACCAAAAAATTCAAATATCCCTGCATATTTTGCTTAATTAATTTTGAACTCTTTCAAATACATTTTATTAAAAGCATAGAAAGAGTATTTGAATTAAAAAATATTTAAGCAATCTATTTATTCCAATATTCTTAATATTATATCACTTTGATCGTCCCTCTATTATTGGCAACTGTTTGATGAAAAATGATATTTTTCTATTTTAAATAATTTTAAGGAATCGTTTCATATTTCAATATGCATTAAGGATTAGAAGGCCTAAAGGATAACTTTGCCGAATCATTTGGCAATAGGAGCCTTGTATAGATTATTCAAATCAATGATCATAACTTTTACTGATAATTACATTCTCATTTTCTCCGACAGTTTCATAATTTGCTTTTATTTAAAAATTTAATATTTTAATGGCTTAATTGAATTCAAAGGTGAACATAGTTCTTTCTGCAATGTTCCCGAAATATCAAGGTAAAGTCTGAGGTGTCGTACAAACAGGGAGAACAAGAAAATGATGAATTTGAAAGAAATGAAAACTGTAAATTTGGTAGGATGATCGAAAAATAGTTGAGTTCAAAACAAAATTATCGATTGAATCGATAGCATAACTGTCATATATGATAAACCAATGTGATAGGCGGATTTTAAAGGAGGACGGAACAAAACTCATAGCTTATTCACTGATAAATAACTCATCCGTTAGAGAAGTATAACTACCTGTATAATGTCATTGAGATCATTAACATAAGAACGTTCCGTTTCCAATAACTCCATGGCAATCCGATCCAATTGTGTTAGTGTACCACTGTTTAACAATTTTAGACGACGTATTTCTGATAATGATGATTCCTGTCTGAAATGACTATCAGATTGCAAGAAATTTTTAGAAGCGAAATTCATAAATTTTCAAATCTAAATTTATTTATAATTTTTAGGACGATGGCATTTGATGAGGTTTTCATTAATTTGTAAGATGAAAGATCAAAAAATTCTAAATTTTAAAAATTGCATAAATAGAAACAAACGTTAGCAATTTCTTGCTAGCAGAAGCATTAATTGGATGAACAGTATCATCGCTTATTTCGGAACTTCTCAAACTACTTCGAGCTGAACTGTAACCAGTTGATGAGCTCACAAAACTTAACCGTTGTACCACTTCCTGCAAAATATCAACGAAATAGTGCCCATATATCTATCTTGTAGGATTTTCAACATTCAATCAATCATCTTATTGGATAAACTTTTAAAATAGTATCCATCCTTAACAACCGCTCTTTTAATCTGAATGTAAAATTTTAAAAAGTTTCATTAACGATCAATTTAATCGGCTGCTATAATGCATTTAAAAACATTCCGCTTTCTACAGTTTTCCATAATTGAACAACTTCAAAGGCCTAGATAGACGACCTAATGAAGCCTCTTTGCAATATATGATATCCAGTATTGTATAGCTTTAATAACACTACACCAATCATTTATTTACCTCAGCAATTTAAATATATAATTTGAACTGCTGGAAAGTATAAAATAAAAATCTAAATCACTTACAGGATCATCATCAGCACTGATACTAACTCCATTTCTATAATGTTGACCATCAGTAATAGCGGTAGTGGTGGTAGCAGTATTAGTAGTAATATTGGTACCAATTGTAGAAGATATTTGATGATAACATCGTCGAGAATTATCAAGAGCTATAGCCATTTTTTGCAAAACACTTGTGCTACTCTTTGGTCGTGTTGATACCAATTGCGCACTCTTTGTTGTTGTTAATTTTTGTGCAGAACGAGTTATTTCTGCTTCTCTGCAAACAAAGAAGAAAAGTATTGACAGTTATAACAACTTTTAAAAATAATAAATAATTAAATTTACTCATAAATTTCAACAGTAAATATTTAAATGATATGATAGATAGATTGAGAAAGAGAGAGAGAGAGAGAGAGAGAGAGAGAGATGAAATTAAAAACCATTAAATGCTTTTTCACTCAATCACAAATCAATTAATTCATTCTAAGCTCTTCAATATTTTTAAGAGATAATTTTAACAAGTGATGATCACTTAAAAATTTCAACATTTTTACTATTAAAATAAATCACACCAGCAATCTTCTTCCCTATCAAATAATACTTTTAAAATATTGACGAATAAATATTTCTTCTTCTATGTTTACAGCCTTCTTCTTCCTCCTCTCTTATTCATTTTGAATATCTCAAAGATTACATTCTTCATTTCAATTATTTACAAAAGAATGAAAATTCACTCTTCGCTCAAATAGCATTGAATATTTTTGATGAATATAAATGAGGGCAAAAATAGATGATACAACGAAAGAAAAAATGAAAAATGAATTTCATTAAAAATAAATCGGTCAATTCATCATTGAGTGTTATAATCTATCATAAGTTGTGAATGATAAATTCAATTATATTTCATTCAAAATTTCCTTTTACAAAAAAGAAGAACTTCTCTACGACATTATATTACTAATTATTGTTGTAGAAATGAAATGAAATAAAAAGATAAAATTTAATTTTATGGAATAGAGAAATGGATGGATAAGAAGGATTATTCTGATTGAAGGAGAAGTGATCAACAAAAAACGGAAAAATAGAATAACATGATAAATCAGATAGATAATTTATCGGAGGTGAAACGAAATTGAAATGGATAATATTAACAGGATTATCATTTCAAAATTCATTTCAGGAATACATTTATATATTTAGAAATCAGTGGGATAATATTTTCATATGACAATCATTGATCATAGCAAAAAAAAGGTAATATTTCCAAAAAAGGTAATTAATTGTTGATTTAAAGAAAATCAAAGAAAAAATTAAATTGGAAGTAATAATTAAAGTAATATTTTAATTGGAAGTAATGATTAAAGTAATATTTTAATTAAAAAATAATATAAATTAATAAACAAGTAAAAAGTAATATAATATTACTTATAGCGAAAAGGAAAGGTAATAGAAGTACCTGAGAAAAGTTTGAAAAGTAAAGTCTCACGGAAAATAATATTAAAAATGAAGTTGAGGAGAAAAAAAGATCTGTAAATTACTTTCAAGTATTTTTCATTAACAATGGAATTTCAATTACACATTCTGTTGACAGACATTATGTGCAACTTGTGTGACATTAAAAACAGCTTCAACAATGTTGAAAGATGAATGTTTCTTTCATACGACATTTTAAACTTTGACCGAATAAAGAGAAGAAGAAAATTGGAAGTAATTGATGATTACTTCTTCTCAATGTATTACACTTGAAAATTATATCTTCACACTATAATAAGTAATATTCAACTGCAATTATTTCATTAATGAAATACTTTCATTCGCCATTAATGTTTTATACTAATTAATAAAGTTTTAAGTTCCAAATGATAAAATAGTTTATTCGTTTAACTTACTTAGAGAATCAATAGGGCAAGATTATAAGTAACGATTAATTTACTCTGTTCAAACTTTCCTAAATGACAAATATATTATAGCTAAATAACTATGGAAATTATAGCAACGAACAGAATGTACGCGACATATTTTAATGAAATCAACCAATATGTCCGTTTAAATATTCATTATTTCAATTAGCTGCAATTTAAATAAAATTGAAATTGACCGATCGTCAAAATTACCACTAACTGATTGAAGTAATTCCCGCATCTATAATTTAGTAATTGTCAAAAACGAAATAATTGCCAGGAAAAAAATGTTTTGTGTGATGGCATTAACAAAAAACTTGACGACATCTTTACAGTACTTTAATTTGAAATTGACTAATAGTAATATTTAAGAAAAAGAATTGTTGATTTCACAATAAATATTTTAATTTGGTTAATTACACTTTCTAACCTCTATCTTACTTAATAACCTTTACCATTGCTTGCAGTCAGATAACCTTTTATCCCAATCATATATTAGAAGTCTATTAGAATAAGAGTGAAAATGAAGTGTAAACAAGAGGGCATCCTTCGTAAGTATGTGATTGTGATAATGAAAATTAATTCAATTTAATCAAATCTAATTAAAATGAAGGAGAAAGATTAAGATAAGCAAACGAGATAAATTATCAGATGATTGATAACATTTTTGTCAATGCGCCTAAAATAATTTATTCTTAAAATTTTTCTTTCCATTTATTATTATCTATGAGATACTAAACAAAGCCATAAGATTTAAATTACTTATGAATTCGTTAAACTAAATTTGATTTCATTAAATTACTTCATAACTATACCTTGACTAAAAACCTGATTGATCTTTAAAACTTATTAAATTCATTAAATTACTTATACCTATACTTTGGCTAAAAACCTGATTAGTTTTTAAAATTCATTAAATTACTTCATACCTGTACTTTGACTAAAGACCTGATTAGTTTTTAAGATCCATTAAATTACTTTATACCTATACCTTGACTAAAAACCTGATTGGTTTTTAAAATACGTCTATATAATATGAATTTAAAAAAAATACGAAATGCTATCAAAGCTCTGACAGAATAAACTTTGTTACTTCTATCTAAGATACATTCAATCTCGTTTTCATATCTTCAATTTTATCAGTAATGTTTTGAATCATGAAATATTCATTCCTTCCTCGCTCTCCGCCTTCGTTTTGAATTATTACATTCAAAACAAAATAACTGAAATGAAAAAGAATGATAAATAGTAGAGAGAGAGAGAGAGAGAGAGAGAGAGAGAGAGAGAGAGAGAGATGAATGAGTGAAAATGAATAATTGAATAATTTGATTATTCCATTATTCATCGTAACACAAATGCTTTTGTTCATAATACATTTATGATTATAATCGGTGACATTATCATCCTGTCAAGATGATCTATTGGGTTAGTTATGAAGAAAATTTGAATAATTCGATCTTATCAATTTAAAATGTACTTTTGATGAGGATTGTAATAGAATTCAAAAAAGAAAATTCATATTCGACAAAATAGTTTTAAAGAGATAAGAAGAATTATTAACATAGAAGAGATTATTATGGGACATTCTAAGATTAGCAACGGATATTCTAAAATTGCTAAAATTTTTTTCAAAATTTTAAAACAGATAAATGGACTATTTTATCAGAATTGTTGAATATATAAAATAACCTATTGAAAGTGAAGAATTTTGAGAAATGTAACATTTTATTTTGAAATTAAACTGAACTAAATAAGACAACAATAAACAATCATCAATTTTTAGCATTAAGATGAGAATGGATGATTAAGCTTTATAACTAAAACGGAAATATAGAGCATTTCAATGCAATATATGTAAACAAAATTATGCCAAATACATGCATGCATGCACATATGCATGCATGCATGTATGTATGGATTTATAAATGAAGAAGTTATTGATGGATTAAACATTTGAAAATGTGTTTTTACAACGTGTTAAAAAGGAAAACATGAAAAAGATATGTTACTACATTATGCTATATAAATTAAACAACACCTATACTATTCGTATCATATAGTATTAAGCATTAAAAATAACACGTATGTGATGATACATGAAAAAGTGTAATAGTTTGTATTGATATATAAGTAAATCGTAATTTCTACGTTAGATAGATATTATTATGCAATTTTTTCGTTGTCAAAATGAAGTTAAAATAAACGAAAATACAACAGTTTACAACAGTTTATTAATATAAGTAAACTTTTAATCATCGCTAGAAGAGTTTTTATTTTAGAAATTTATTAATTAATCGCTGCCTGAGAAAGATTTTGAAAGATTCCAATTCCATTTAGTGAATTCATCAGAGTACATCCGATAGATATATTTGGAAATATGAAGCCCTTTTTAGCTTTTAGTTAAATATCATCAATTGATCTGTTAGAAGACTTGAAGTTATCCGATACTTTTATCAATCAATCAATATAAAACATTGAAATTAATGAATTCATAAAGACAGTAAAGTAGAAATGACTAAAAAATTGTTATTTCCATCTTTGCAATTCTAAACTTTTTTTTCCACAAAATATTAAGTGAAAAGATGGACTAAAAAGGCCTTGAAAATGATTACTCACATTTATGTTTAATATCCTAAAAAAGAGCCTAGATTAAGAATGATAAATACAGCAGCTATAAATAAGCATAAGTGTCTTAAAGGCTAAACTTATAGTTAAGTAAGTAAATTTCACTCTTGTAATGCTTTCGCTATATTTTTCTCCGACATAAAAGATTAATTATCATATAACGATATTAATTTTAATTGAATGAAAATTTGTCAAGAATCGATTAAACATGCAAATGAAAATTTGAAGTGTTAGTATTTGATGACAGTGATAGGAAAAGAACAAATAGTAGTAGTAACAAAGAATGATTTTCGAATGAAATGGAACAGTAAAATTTTAACAATAATAGTTGAAATGGATAATTGAGTATCAAACCGGTTGTCAAGAGCCATTTACAAGCAACATTTACATTCATTGTGATATCATAATTATAAAGAAAATAATTTTCATTTCGTTGAAAGTATTAGTAAACATATATTTACGACAAAATTATAAAGCATTTACAGAAATTATCATTTAAATAAACACCACCGATTCTTTCTAAACAACCAATCGTTCTCCATAATTAGATAAGACAATATATTGTGCGCCTTCTAATAAATCATATAAAATGATAATATAGCGATAATCAGACTAATATATTGTGACCATTGGAGTTATAATGAGACTAATATATTATCATAAAGCAATAATTAGACTAATAATATATTATGGCCACTATAATCCTGGATATTATAGTCCTAATAATTTTCTTATCTTAATATATTTATTACTAATATTTATCAGTTATTAATATGATACACATATATTATTTATTACTTATTAAATAAGTTTATAATTATAGCTATAAAAGAAAATAAAGATTTTCTTTTAAATAATAATTTTATAAATTAGAAATGATAAAAATTAAAATATCTTTCACAACATTTGATAATTTATTTTTGTGCAGAAAATATTATTAAAAGGATGAGACAATAATAAAATTAAATTTGTTGTTGAATTAATTTACACAAAATTTCATCGCCTTAACAAATATTTTAATAACAACATATTAATTAAATAATGAAGTAATTAAGTAAATGCAAGTTTAATTTGTAATAAATATATTAAAAGCAACTAAAATTTATTTCACATTCAGTTTTTTAATGAAATCTAATATTTATTTAATATTAGATTTCGAATAATAATATTAAATATTTAATTTCGAATAATAATACTGAATATTTGATTTCGAATAATAATATTTAATACTTGATTTCGAATGATAATATTTAATGTCCGAATTCGAATAATAATATTCAATACTTGATTTCGAATAATAATATTTAATACTTGATTTCGAATGACAATATTTAATACTTGATTTCGAATAATAATATTTAATATTATTAATCAAAATCAAATTTCGAATTGCAGTAATCTGCTAAAATTGTTGAAAAATAAAAATAAAAAACAAAAAATAAAATAAAACAAGCAAAGAAATAATTAAAATAATTAATAGAAAAATAGAAAATTTAACAAACTTTCAGATAATATTATTTTTATCAAAAAAGCCCTATTTTATCTTAACTTTAATTTTCTTCAAAATCTTTCAATCGTAATAAAATGTACATTTCTTATCTGTCACTAATATTGACAACTAGAAGGAATGGAACAAACTTTTCAATGAAACAAGCAAAGATAGATCGATCAGCCATTCTTTTCAGCAATTTCAGCATTCATCCTAATCTATCCATTAATATCAAATAATCATTATGTAATTTCATTATTCATTCTTCAATTCTTTCATCAATTTTATCTATTAAAATGCCTTTATCACTTACATTACCTTATCATATTAATCTTTCTCATTCAAATTTGTTCCCCTAATTATATTATAATACCTGCTTATTATACCTTTTAATAATATATTAAACAAGTTTTTCCTTCTACCTTTTATGCCAATCAAAAAGATTGAAAAACTTGTTTCAATTCACGACAAAATATAATTATTATTATTATTATTCGATAAAGAAAAATTTTACATTTAAAATAGTAAATTGTTAAATTATTTTAATTAAACGAAAAAAAAATTTTTTCTTACCTGTCAATTATTAATTAAAAAAATGGTAACCAATTAATTAATATTATGATCGAATCAGAAAGATTACACAACTCAATTTATTGACACATTATACTAACATTTATTTGATATTAGCTGTATCTAAATTATTACAACAAATAAATTCCACTTTTTAAAACTTTGACTGAAAATTTAATTATGTGAGAATTTTTGATTAAAGTATAATTCTTTTAAAATAATAACCAATTAGTTAATATTATGATCGAATCAGAAAGATTACACAATTAAATTTATTGGCACATTATGCTAACATTTATTTGATATTAGCTGTACCTAAATTATTACAACGAATAAATTACACCTTTTAAAACTTAAACAGAAAATTTAATTATGTGAGAATTTTTGATTAAAATATAATTCTTTTAAAATAATAACCAATTAGTTAATATTTTGATCGGATCAGAAATTCAATTTATTGACACATTGCACTAAGACTTATTTGATATTAGCTGTACCTAAATTATTATAACGAATAAATTACACCTTTTAAAACTTAAACAGAAGATTTAATTATGTGAGAATTTTTGATTAAAATATAATCCCATCAAATTATTGTTTAAAATTTTATTGGTTCTTCAAGAATATTTAATTGAAATGGATATGAAAATTTTCTCGGAGAATTTTAAAATTCTATTTTATTTAATTTCGACAATTTCAAAAATTTATAATTTTCAAATGGCCTTTTTTTTCCGTTAAAATTTATAATGAAATTTAACGCTAAACTTTTATTGACTTAAATCGAAAACTATAAAATGAAAATAAAATAAAAAATTAAATCAAAGATCTCAAAGAACAGGTAAAGAGGTAAAGAGAGAGAGACAAGAAAGAACTTCGTAGAAATTGAAAGAAATGAAGAGTGAACAGGTGAGAAAGTAGTAAAAGAGAAAAATTAAAGATTGGCATTTGTGATTGAGCGAAAGCTATCGTGTGATATTGGTGGTCTGGTCAAACATATTTTGTCCCTCAATAAGCTACCACACTATCCAATCATTCTTTCAACTCTACAACTAAAGCAAACAAACTGTAAGCAATAAATCTATCTGTACATACGAATATATTTTACCAAGTGAAGAAGAATTATTTAAGTGACAGCCAAATGAGAAGATAAAAAAAAGGTCAGTGGAATTTGATTCTTCGAGAAAAATTAGAATAAAATTCATTGTTTTTTTTTTGTTTACAACCTTTAATTCACCTTTGCACTCATTCATACAAACAAAAAGAAAGTGTTCAGTTCTTTAACTTAATGCTCAAATTAAATTATATGATTTTTGCGCTATTTCAAATATCGTTCATATCGGAAGCACAAATTAGACTGAATACTAATATCGCATTTGCCATTAGTGTCATAGTGCATTTTTGCGATCCCACTATTAGTAGGGTTGTATATTCTACTATTCACGAAATAGTGTAGTAAGGATAATATTAGCTGCAGTTTTTCTAAAAGTATATCGATGTATTATTTGACGTAATAAATGATTTAAATAGGAAAAATAAATTTCAACAAAATCTTTAGAGTGCAACACTCTCGATTAATGTTACTAAGATACGATCATGTGAGAAAGTAAAAACAGTCATATAAGGCTTTACTATTTATCATTGTCTATCGTCAATTCCGAAACTTATCTGATATCTAAATCGTTCTAAAATTAATTATTCGAAAATTCATAACATAGACGGAACAAAGTATCGATCATTGGCTATTTTCGTCCACTATGAGTAAACAAACCAGTCGTTTCATACAATTAGTTCTACATAATTAATTTTGCATAAATAAAGAATATATTTAATTAAGATAGAGTAATTAACATAGAACTATGCAATAAACATAGAACTAAGAAATAGTATGCAATAAACAGAACGACATGAATAATATTTTCGAAGTTAACAAATTTTTCTACATTACTGCAAGTTGATTTTTAAAAAGTTGAACAATTCATCTCTTAAAGACACACACATATCTCTATCCCGGTATATATCGGGAAATTAACGATTAAATGAGTAATTGTTTGTTAATTTTTATTAATTTCGTAAAAATTACAACATAAAATTAAAATCAATAATTTTTAAATTCTTCGGTGAAATTTTTCTAGCACATCATTTCTAAATAATCATCAATCAGTTAGCATTAATTTGGACATATAAAGATATTAATCTCTATCTAGAATCGATCGAGAACTCTCGATACAAGAGAAAATATCTTAAATAAGAAATGCTATTATCTCTACATATTTGTTAACATATTTATTGGGAAAAATAAATTCATAGAAAAGTCTATCGGATAATGTGAAATGCGACTAATGCTGAAATGCGACTAATGCTTTCTAAGTTAGCAAACCCTTGCTTAATGGTTGCAAGAAAACAAATAACTGCGGAATTTTCACATCACAAAAAGCATTGTGAAAATGTTTTCGGTTTATATTTGTCAGAAATAATTAAAATCAAACTCTTTTTTTTGAAAGGCCTAAATATTATTTTAAAATGATAAACAAAAGAATTAAGCAAACTAATTTAACTTTTGTAAAATTTAATTTTTTAACAAGAATTTCAACGTTTTTTCTTTTCCCGGAATACTTTCATGATACCGCATTGTTTGCAGAAAACAAATTAGTTCATTTGGGATAATTGCGAAATTTTCGCATACCAAAAGTGTCGTAAAAATAATTTCTTTTATACGGTACTTAGTAAAAGTATTAAAATAAACAGGATCGCTACATTTTCCCCAAAAAATAAACATGACCATTAGCTGCTAAAATTTTCCCAATTGTTCAATTGCGATTATCTTTAAAACAAAAATACTTTTAATTCATAAATTAAAATGAAACTAACTCGTTATTCAATGAAGTAATACCAAGAGGTAATGAATTACGATTGAAATCCAAATGTTTGCGAATTATTTGCGTTTGATTTTCGCTAAAACTTGACGTTCTAATAACATCGAAATGTGTACGAAAAATTGGTGCTTTAGAAATAAGTGATAATTCTTCGGTTCTATTCCAAATTTGTGATCCAAAATCGAATGATTTTCGTTGGCTGAAATTATAAATTAAAATTTATTCTTTTACAATGATATGATTGTGATGATAATTATTTAAAGATAAAACAAAATAACTTACAAGAAGAAATTAGATGTTCCTTTATTACTTCCTTTTCGTTTCAAAAATTTTCCTCCTTTTTCAATTGTTTCTGCGGCAGCTAATTTGTCAGCAACCAACTGTTGCAAAATTTTTTGCGAAACGTCACTATCTATTATTCTAGAAAATTTAACAAAATTTTATTTCGAACTAAAAAAAAATCTTTTTCAAATAATTCGTTATTTCAAATCCGAACATACCTTTTTTTTTTTACTACAAACGTATTTAAATGATAATTAATTTCTCCTTCAAATATCTTATACTTATAATTCCTAGCCATAATAAGTTTCAAATTATAATTTAATAAATTTTATTTTAAACTAAAAAAGTCTCTTCCAAATAATTAATTATTTCAAATCCGAACATATCTTTTTTTACTTCAAATATATTTAAATGATAATTAATTACCTTATACTTATAATTCTTAGTCATAATTAGTTTCAAATTATAATTTAATAAATTTTATTTTAAACTGAAAGAAAATCTCTTTCAAATAATTCGTTATTTCAAATCCGAGCATATCTTTTTTACTACAAGTATATTTAAATGATAATTAATTCCTCAAATATCTTACTATCTTATACTTATAATTCTATACCATAATAAGTTTCAAATTATATATCTGAATAATTAAAAAAAAACTCATTTAGTAAAACTTCAGCAAAAACAATAAATGATTGGAAAAAAGGATAAAATGTAAAAACATTTGAGACAAATCTATTTCTTACGATAAAACTAAAAATCTAATAGTTGGCTGATGATCAAATAAATATTTGCAACAATCGCTTCTCTATTAATTATTATCTTTAAGCTATTCTTCTTTGGTATACTACGAATGTTCTGGATATATACCGATATGTAAAAACCGAATTTATTCTCTTCTATAAATTGTTCATCTTATTATTATGGATGTGCAAAAATACCGGTCACTAATTTTTTTAGTGGGAAATATATTCAACAAAACAACAAATGATTATTCGTCAATTGCGCTATTTTCTGCCAATCTTTCTATCCTGTTCAAACACTTTTTTTTTAATTTCAAATTTAAAATTTTAATACTAGAATACTAAAACTTAAAACTAAAAGGTGATAATTAAAAATTAAAATAGGAATTAAAACATTAAAAATTAAAATTTAAAACTAAAATTTGAAAAAATATCATCTCTAATTCCAATCAATCAAAAATATTGAATTTATTCAATATTTTTTGTATTGAATTTTAAACTTTCACTTACCAAAAAATTTTAATAATCGGAGTGAATGTTCTTCAGTTACAAATTAATTTTAATTTATATTCTGTAAGGTATCCAAAGTCTTACCTATATGCACGTGATGAACGTGTTAAAGTTCCAGACGATGTATGGCCTGTAAAAATGATATAGTTTTAACAGGGGTGATTTAGGGATGATACCTATAACAATTGTATGAAAGTTTTTTCTAATATAACCACTGAAAAATAAAATCGAAATCCTATAATTGAAACCCTATAATCATACAAGTGAAAAAAACTTTCCAACAAGGTTTGGCAAGTTTAATATTTTTTGTGTTGAATTTTAAACTTTCACTTACCTGAATCGTATCCATTGGTTGATGTATTTATAATTGGTTCCTGAGTTCCTGCAGAACGTTTAGATGTAGTTGTCGTGCTGCGATAATATCTGAAAATGTGATATCTTTTATAAATATTTCATCATAAAATGTTTTTCCACACTAATTAATAGACAAATTAATTGATTAACGAATTAATTTCAGTCTATAAATAACCATCATTCCTTGAATAGAACTTACGTTGACAATTTCTCCGGTGTTTCGGTATTATGATCGCTCTCGACACTTTTTAATGTCGTTGATGTTGATGATGATGACGACGACGATGACGATGATGATGATGATGATGAAGACATTGTTGTTCTCGTTAATTTCATGTTATCATAGTTCGTACCATCGATGTCACCGTTGTCACTATTGGTGTAATTGTAATTATTGTCTGATTGAAATTTCTCTTGTTCAGATACCATTTCATCGTTTGGATTACAACATTCACCTAAATTTCAATTTAATTCATATAACAAAAGTTAGCAAATTATTAATAATTATATCACGAAAGTAATCAGTCTTTCTCAGTCTTTCTTTTTCTAATAAACATTTCGAGAAGTCCGAAATGTCACAGGTCAACCAGGAAATATTTTGATACGATACAGTTTTATAGCATACTCAAATTTTATTCGATCAATTTATTACTCTCATGATAATTTTACTTAAGAACTAACTTACTTCAACTAATTATCACTAATCCATTCTTACAGTCTACTAGTTAGTTTAAATGACTAAGTTAATGAAGAAGTAATATAAAATTTCATCAAATTTTTCAGAAACACAAAATGAGTTTTAAAAAAAGCGATCTATCATATCATTTCAATTAATAAGAAATACATCATTATTTGAGAGGAAGAAGTGATACTTCTTTTTATGATAATAATACAATTTTCAAAAGCAATTTTAAAATTCATATACAAAAAGAAGGAATAAATTATCTCTAAAAATATATGTCCAATTAATAAAATTCAATAAAAATCACATTTTCAATTTACCTGTAATTAGATCATTTTAAAGAAAATTCTTAAAATCGATTCACTTTTTTTTTCAACATTTAATTTTCAATATTTTTCCTTTTTGATTTCTTCTTCCTTCAAGATATATCCTATTCCTTTTTTTACGACAATAAAAAATATTTTATTTTGTGAGAACTAAATTATAAAAATAATTTTTTGAAATCTAATAGCTTATATTAATAGCTCACAGACCAATTTAATAATTTCATTTGTCATAAATTATTGTAAAAATTTTTCAAAATTCAAAATGATCGGAAATGAAATAATCTCGACTATTTAGGAAAATTTTAATGAAAGTGGAAAGATTTTTAATAAAACGATTTTAACAATTTCTCTACAGGGTGGTCTTATCAGTGAGAATGATAAATGTTACCGCTTGTTGTAAAAATAAATTTAAAAAAAAAGGGTAAAAAGAAAAATATAAATTTCAACGATGTAATAATCATTGACTTAATAAATGACGTATAATCGTCATAAAAAGGAAAAGAATTGGCTAATATCCGGAAAAATACTATTATATTAATAATATTTGTGAGGAATTACAACAAATGATAGTATAAATATAATTGTTGTAAATGTGACGAATGAGAAAGTCGTAGAAAATCGGAGAAGTGAAAATTTAAAATTTAATTCTAAACATATAAATAAATGATAATGACTGATGACTTTGAAAGGAAGTAATACAACAAAAGTCTCTTTTATATTGATTGTGGTTCCGAAGCAGACACAACAAACGCATCTGTTTGGAGGATTTATGCAGCAGACTTGCAATTTATGAAGGATTCGTAGTACGATCTTTTAAGTGTTCCAATTTTGGATTTAAATTATTGAATTATTAAATTATTCGAATTATGCTTATTTTAATGATCAATTAAATTGATTTTTAAAATGGATATAAAAATATCTCAAAGGGAAATAAAGTAATATTTTTAATTTCAATTATTGTAAACGTGATGAATGAGAAAGTAGAAGAAAATCAGAGAAGTAAAAATTTAAAATTTAATTCTAAACATACAGATAAATGATAATGAGTGATGATTTTGAAATGAAGTAATACAACAAAAGTCTCTTTTAAAATTCGTAATTTAATCTTTTGAGATATTTATCAAATTAAATCAATTAAACTGATTTTTTTGATATGGATATACAAATATCTCAAGGGAAAATAAAGTAATAACATGAATGATTCATAATTTGATCTTTTGAGATATTTATAAAATTAAATCAATTAAATGATAACGCTTGCTCATATCATCGTTAAGTGATTGAAATTGTTGAATTCCTGCAAAAATTCAATTTTTATAAAACCTACGCAAATGACAGTTAAATTTGGGACAAACATGAATTAAACAATTGTTGGTTGGTTGGTTGGTTGTAAAGGATGGAAGAAATTGGCTGAGAATTGCGGAAAAAGTGATCGGTAGATAAAGGCAATTTAACGATAACATTAATAAATGAATTAATTTAAATCAGTTAACTTTGCAATTACATAATCTATTATTAACGCATAATTTGTTCAATTTTAATTATAACGGCAAGTAAACATTAAATGTTATTTCATTTTTCCTTTTTACAAAATTTAAAATTTCATTTTATCCTCACTTCCCACTAAATGGTAACTATAAAATTAAATTTGCATTTTCACAAAAGGGAAAAAATTTTGAGATCCAAATTAAATTGAAATTGAATTTCACATTTTTTTAAACTCCCGAAATTTTTTAGAAAAATTTAAAAGTGAAAGAGAAGAAGAGAAAGAATGATAGATTTCTTGATTCATCTAAAACAACCAACAAGTATATTGAGATGACAATTTACACTACTAAACAATTAACGGAAATTATCAATTATCAGTCACTGAAATTATCAATTATCAGTTTTTAGCTATTTTTTTTTCTTTGATTTTAGAAAGCCAAATATTCGAACATTTTTGTAATTTTCTACATGGTGAATTCAAATTTTGTTGAATATTTTCAACAGATGATTTGTTTTTTTTCTGTGAAATTGATTGAAATTTTTTTTTCTTTGAAATTATTAATTATCAATTATCAAATGATAAGCCAAATATTTTTATGATTTAAAGATAATTAAAAAAATTGATCTTTATCTTGAGAAAATATGAAATAGAAGTAAAACGGATAATTATGATGATAGCAACTTGTTGTAGCACAACTGCGATCATTCTTAAAATTTCATTACAGTTAAAATCATACAATAACTTTAGCCAACAATAATATTGCTAATTTCAAAGAAACAAAAACAAATTATCTGTTGGAAATATTCAACAAAATTTGAATTCACTCTGCAGAAAATTGCAAAATTGTTCGGATATTTGGCAATCTAAAAAAATAAGAATGACTAAAAAAGAGATTAAATTGTTATCAGAAATTAAATTCATTAACATTTTGCTTTTTCCATTTTTTCATTTGGCGGAAAATAATTCCGTAATAGTTCCGGTATAGAGAGAAATGATTTCTTCTTAAGGGATTTAATTCTTTTAGCAAAGGACAGTAGAACAAATTAATCAAAATTAGGATGTGAAATTGATAAAATAATGAAATCAAAGGAATTCCTTTGTACACACACACACACACACATACACACACACACACACACACACACACACACACACACACACACATTACTGATCAACCATTTCAATGTGATACATTCAATGGCCTAAATTTTCAATGCGTAAATAATGAGAATTTTAAATGGAAGAAAACAAGAAGAGAATCTAGTTCATTAATTAAAATCTTTAGCATAATTAAACATCATGTTTTCACAACATATTTTATAAATTTCTTCTTGAAATATTTTGAAATTTAATATTTCAATTAAATATCTAAATAGATATCATATTATTCTTCCCTTGCAATAAATTTATTCTCTTATCTTATTTAATTTCCTTTTTAAAAATCGTGATTTAAATAAATAAATTAAAGTCAATCCTGTTGATCTACGAAATCAATATATTATTAACCTTCCAGCTGTTATAGTTTCTAAAAAAGACATTATGATAAGAAGACTTATTTATCAGTAGTATTTCAAAATTAATTTTAGCATTTTAAAAATTAATTGCATTATTTATCGGAGAATTTCCTAATAGTATGTTTAACAAATTAATATAATTAACCTATTAATGTTTACAATATAATTAACTTGTCATGTAAATATAATAAATTTTTTTTAATTACTAGAACAAATAGAAAAAAAGGCTAAAATTTATTATTGACAGATTTTAAAATAAATAAATAAGTGAATAGTAAATGTAATAAATTTGTAAACTAAAAATATAATTAGCCTGTCATGTAAATGTTTAGTAGTTTCATTAATTATTAAACAATCTGTTTCATATTGAAATTAATGTTAATTGGAAAACTTTTTCTTACATTTTATAAAATAAAGAAATGAAGAGAATTTAAGAAAACGTAACAACGATACTAAAACAATAGAAATGTTTGCATAGAATCGCTTCATTTCAACGAAAGGAAAAAAGAAAGTTCATCGCAGGAGTTTATGACAGTTCATTTGGTCATTGAAAAAGGAATGCAAATGCATCACGACCTTGGATCTAACCTTCCAATAATACCCTATAAAGAGTGGAAATTTTTCATCAAGCAAACTAGGTATATAAGGTTACACAAGGTCATTCCATTTTATTTATCATACTGAAGAGATTAGAGATAACTTGACCATCAAAGTAAACTCTAGAAAGTAAGATGGATGTGTCACCAGTTGAAATGATTTCGCTGAAATAATTTTGATTATTGAATTAGGAGTTTTTTCCCTTTTTACAAACGGGCGTTTGAGTGACAAATGAGAAGTGAAATAGAGCTTAAGCTGTCATAAGTAAGTGAAGAAATGAAATAGTTAAATGTTAGCAGTAATGATTCATATCATCGATACATAATCAAAATGTCTTCTTTTTTTACAGTTTGAAAAAAGAATTTCGTCGAGAAAGACAAGCTTAGAAATATGAATAAAGTATTAGGCTTATCATAGATAATATAAAAAAAGGAAGAACGAGAAATTATCATCCCCTACTTCTAATCATTTATATCAGATTAGAAGAGAAAAGAGAGAGAGAGAGAGAGAGAGAAAGAACATTACAACTTGATAAGCAATCATTCGACAGCTTCAGTTCTCTCCTTTCAATTACACCGGCAATTTTTGAAAATGAGAAGAAAAGATGGTTCAAAATGGAGCAGTTGCAAAGCTGTTGACAATTATTCATTATGTGATACGTTCTAAATGTTTCTAAGATTCAAAAGCAGCCGCATTGGGACAAAAGTGTACAACGATTGTACATAATTAAAACTAATAGTTTTAAGCTACAAACATTAGTCTTTACAGCTTTGATAAATTTTCAATCATCTCAACTATTAGTACAAGTATCTCTTGGATAA